AGAGATAACACTATAATTAAAGTTCATATATGTAATCAACGTCAATTTAATTGAACTCTTGGCACCTTAGGTAAATTGATCTCTTTGCAATTAAATATTTACGTATTAAGCAATTGGAAAAAAAACCAAATTTAAATGTTACATGCAACTGCAGTAAGTAGTATTCTAGAACCACAAGAAAACTTTTTTATCTTCAAACGATTTATGTTGCTTAAACAATATTCTAACTCATAAAGAATATCGTTGAAGCATTTAGAATTTAAATCAATTCGATATTGATATATTTAATGCAATAATGTTTGGTTTGGTGGCGACAGAACTTCATCTTCTACCTCAGTAGCGTATTGAAGTCATTTCGTTCACTAACACCTGGATTTAAGACTTAAAAAAAATTTTTTTTTTTGTTAAATGCATTTGTTCAAAAATTGAGTATTCTCTTCAACCAAAACTACAAGGGCTGTAAGGAAGAAAAATAAATAACTCTATACTTGAATTTTCTATAAAAACTACCTATTCGAAAATTAGATATCCTCTTCAACCAAAAATACAGAAGCTAAAAGGAAGAAAAAAAAGAGAAACAACTACAGGTACACTTGGATTTTCTGTAAAATCCTGCATTTTCATCTACCAAAAAGAAACATACTTCCTTTACAAATCTCCAAGCCCAGTCAGATTGAAATAAGCTCGTTTAACAATTTCGTTGGTTGTTTTAAAAACTACGTTCCTCTTCAAGGGAATATACAGGAGCTGTAAGGAAGAAAATAAAAATAAAAACACAATTGAAAACTTTCTTTTCAAATGATTGCCGCATTCCATTATCTAAATCGATCAACTAAAAAGTCTAGTAAACATCCCAAGTATAGATCTTCGTAAAATAACCTTTTTTATAAGCTGCGCAGATTGTTTTAAACATTTGGTGTCCTTTTTAACCGAAAATACAGGAACCGTAAGGGGGAAGAAGAAAACGGACTGTGTAACGGGCTGTGTGATAATAAAATGTGCGCCAATCGTTTTCCCCTTCCTGCTCTCCAATACAATTCCAGTACTAACATAACATCACATGGACAATTTCGTCAATCTTATAGAGGTTCCATCCAATGATCACTAACGTAGTTGTGCGTTGGAGGAAAAAAAAAACAATATAATGTTCATCTTTTCAGTCACCGCCTGGCACTAGCCAAAATACAACTCTAATTCACTGCAACATTGTGCAATATTTTTGGTCCAAAATAATGGTATCCCTATACAAAATTTTTACAATGTCAATGACCGTGTCTCAAAAGTTGTGTGGTATGGCAATAAGTGGGTAGAAATAACCCATTCTATATAGCTTTTTCCTATTTTCATTAGGTAATTAGCACCTTGTACTTATCCAATTCTTCATAGTTTCTCAACTGATTCAGTTAAGTTATAGGATTGTACTACCTGATTATAATATAATATATTACTCCCTTCACTTTTTATAGAACCAAATACATAAGTGTTAACAAATGAACTGTACAGACATTGGGTGATGATATTAAATTTAGTATCATATGTAAATATTTTTTAGAGGTCATATCCAAAAATCGGGTATGGGGTGTCTAAAACAATTTTTGTAATTTGAAATTGCTTTTTATATAAACTGACGAGTAAAGAAAAAAGGTTATTTAAATGAAATAATGAAAGAAACTTTTCGCTTAATGTCCATGGTTATATTATTTACTATAAAAAAAGTTATTGCATTGGAAGTCTGATTTTGTAACTGATGCATTAAGTATTACCTGCTCATTCACAAACTTTCCTTCGCCATCAATCAATGATATTTAGAGTGGTCAACAAACCAATAAGAAAGTTTTGATTATAAACTTGTACTTTAAACACACCATTCCATATGCTCGTTCCTTACGCCAATGTATCTTTATATAAAACAATATCAAAAAAAACGTTTAATGTTCACTGACCATAAATCAAAGACAGCTGATGCAACTATCAATACTTCCAGTCAGAGTCATCCTTTGTCCATTTTAATGCCCTCAAAACTTAATCATTTTAATATAATCTTAAAAATTTTTTTGAATATAAATCAAAGTTGATATATGTTTATGAGATGGTAAAATAAATATTAAACTGAATAGATGAATTCTAAAAACTATATTTTGTAGTTATATTCATTTTAGTGCCACAATAATTAATTATAAATTTTTGTAAAATCAATAATAGTATTTAAACGACTAAAGTAAATATATGTAAAACTAATATTAGTATCTTGAAAACCATTCTTTTTTTTGGTTAGATAATTATACAAACTGAACGATTACTTTAAGCACAAAGTTTTTTTTATACCAAAAATAGAAAAAAAAAATAAAAAAATTAAAACAGCTTTGCAATGTATATAACATAATATACCTGGAAATAGTAAACACACATTAAGCATATCGTAAAATATATTATTTTATTGCGATAATTTACTTACGGCGAAGTCTGGCCAGCTGCTTAAGTAAAGACCATTAATCTTTTTTAAAAGCAATTGTTTGTGCCTATACTTATGCATATTGCATTTCAAATTATTGAAAAAAAAACACTAAAAAACTAAATTTTATAAAATAAAAGGTAGCTAAAGTTAACTAAGCTTTAATGTAATATTTATTAAAACAAAGGCACTTGATACAATACTTGTATGTACCACAATGATAGTAAATTTGTAGCTGAAAACTGCAGTCAGGAAACTAATTTGTAAAAATATTCGTAAATGGAAATTTTTGTCACTATTTAAATGGTAAATTTTTAAACAAATTAGTTAAACGCTTTTAAATATCTCAAAATCTATTTTTTCATGCAAAACAAAAAATAATTTCTTTATATTGAACAAAAGACTTAAGCAACAAACGTGAAATCTAAATTGTTATTAGGTACCATATATAATATTGTCTCTCGTTTAAATCACCCTCTGAGTTATAATTAATTATAAATTTATATTTTAAGTAATGCCAAGAGTTGAATATTAAAATTCATTAATTTGATTAATTTGAAAAATAATATAGAATATTATATATTGATTTTTACTCTATACTTTATGTGTGTTATGAGTAGGTATAACATAATTAACGAGAGGCTTGTCACAAAATTCCGGTAAATAAACCTTAAAAACTCTACAGATAATTGCAATGTTATATATGCATAGAGATCTACAAATTCACAAAGCTAGATCATAATCCTACCATTAAGACAATATAGCTAATGAGATGTGCTTAAAAGCACAATACTCCATATAAACCAAAACGCAGCATATTCTTATAACAGTAAGAAAATATAAACGCTAACATACAGTCATCCCCCCTATAACGCTTTAAATTGTGTGCGCGTTATAGGAACACACGTTATAGGAGTATTCCCTTATATTCCGTTTACACACGTGTAAGGGTACGCGAAGGAACTGTACAAATCCCCGCGTCATATGGGAAAATGCCCGTGTTATATGGGGGATTTAAATCGCATACTATGAAAACGCGTTATAAGGTTACTGCGTTATGAGGGGGATTACTGTACTTCTTATTAGCTTGTAGTGATGATCTATGAGACTCAATCATTTACGTGCTATTACCTGTAAAGTTACGATTCTGTTGTCATCAACTAGAAATTAATCAAGCTTCTGTTTGTCGTTAACTAGAATTAATTAGGAAAGTTGGAACAAAATATCATCACTATTAGAATTATGAATGCCAATTTTATAAATGTGCTACTACTTTTCAATTTCATGTATTACATGATAATATAATCTCTTTTATTAATAAATATCAAATGATTTTTTTTATCCATTAGAAGCAATGAGGTACGACATAGGCATTAGTTAATATTGGGAGAGAAAGGTCACTATCGTGTTTATATAGTATTAATACCTACCTATATTGAAATGAAACAATTGTCAAATATATTTATCTTATTAAATCTGGGCACTTTAAAATTCGGAACGGGAGAGTTAACCTTAGCGCAGGCCTTACACAAAGTATGCGACATGGTTAGCGAACGAATAAGAGATCCTCCCCGAACTTATACCAAAGTGGTTCAGGATGAGAGACAATGCTGAAGAAGAAGAGGAGTAATTGTTTTAGTTCGTATACTACATAGTAGGATTCGGACATTCCATTCCTGTTCGGCGACAGTCAGTTTAGCGGTTTATAAGTCGTTTCACCTCTTCACTTTAAAAATATATATATTAGGTTGTTTAGAAAGTAATTTCGTTTTTTCCCGACAGAGGATGTACATTAAGACTGAAAAGTTTTCGGAAATTCTCATTTAAAATTCGCGCGCTGTATATTTTTCGATATTTTAAGTTTATGTAGTTTGGCAGCAATTAAGGACAATTACTATGCCAAAAATGAGCGCGATCTGTCAGACAGTTCGTTTACGGCAGCTGTTGAAACCAGTTCACCTCAGTAGTGCGTTGCGAAATGTCTTCGACGGTCGTACGACCGTACTGAAAGGCTTTGTACCACTCATAAACTTGAGTTTTCGATAAAACTGATTCCCCATAAGCCTTTTGTAGCATTCGCAACGATTCTGCACACGAAATTTCGTTCGAAACACAAAATTTGATGCAAACTCTTTGTTCAATATTTTTTTCCATTGTTTTTTTCGCAACGCACTACTGAGGGGAACTGGTTTCAACAGCTGCCGTAAACGAACTGTCTGACAGATCGCGCTCATTTTTGGCATAGTAATTAAGGACAGTGCTGCCAAACTACATAAACTTAAAATATCGAAAAATATACAGCGCGCGAATTTTAAATGAGAATTTCCGAAAACTTTTCGGTCTTAATGTAATTGTATTTTTTTACACCCAACTTCACACTTAAGCCGTATAATTTTTATATGCTTTTACAGCTCATATAGCAGGGCTTGTGTGTAAAAAATTCCAATTAATTCTACGCAGTAGATTTTGGTTGATGCCCTTTTAAATATGGAGAGCGATAAGCAACATTTTCGACATATCTTACTGTTTTACTACAGAAAGGATAAAAATGCCAAAAATGGAGAAGGTGTGTTGACAGTACGCCAGTGCATCCATATTCTCCAGACCTGGCACCATTGGATTATTATTTGTTCAGGTCACTCCAAATGTTTTAGACAGTAAAACCTTCACCTCAAATGAGGAAGTCAAAAACCACCTCGATCACTTTTTTGCCTTTTTTGAATTATGTTACTACCAGAAAGATAGCAAAAGGTGTTGGACCAGAACGGTCAATATAAAATTTATTGAAGTATTTGTTTATTATACGAAAACTGTCTTTCGTTTCCACAAAAAAGAAAAAGGAACTTACTTTCCGAACAACCTAATATATAGATGTATAGATATATTTATGTAGTAATACTAGTAAAAATTGTTTTTTATTATCTCATACAATTTATATTTAATAAACAAAAATTGCTTGTTAGTTGATTGTAAACTAGTTGCAGTATTATATTAACAATAAAAATAAACAAAAAAAA